ATGTGATATTTCATAAGATAACATGGATCCTGTAAAGTATTCATTCACACACGGGTAAGAGATTGATGGATATTCATTAAAACGCTATAATCTCCGAACATAATGTTTAGATCGCTTTTTTACTTGTCCTTGAATTTTAAAAGCCTACCGAAGCTTTAATCAAACATCAGATATACAATATAATATATATAAACTGTTTCTAACATACTTGATTTTCATTGTTAATATTACATTTTTTGTGAAAATCTGGACATTTCACAAACTGCAGTTTATATACAGAATTCATAAATAGGATATAGGTATTATTTAAACCTTGAATTATAAAAAAAAAATATGTGCATATTTTAAAATAAACCTACTTGCTTTTACTTTTCTTTATTATTTATTATGAGTTCTCTTCTCCTGACTTGCGTTGTAATTTATAATTATCGCAGGAGATGGCAATTTTTTTGCCGAAGGCAACTATGTGAATATACAGCGTTGTTTAATGCATGCATGTTTTCGTTCCTTAAGGAGTTAATACTAGATTTACCAGACCAGTCATTCGGACGTGATGTACGTTTGTATTTTTAACGTAAAAAGGGGAAACAAGGGAAGAGTATTAAAGAAAAATTATTTTTGGGATAGCAAAACCAACCACCGACCTTGGCATTCAATCAATATATACGTGAACCATATCGAACAAATTTCAAAAAAAAAAAAGGTTTGGGCTATGTATGTAGACACGTCGCATATGAAAAGCATGTATATGCACATATGCATGCTTTAATTATCACATGACTTGAACTGAAAAAAAGATATTAAATTTTTAAAACCTTAAAACCAGATCACTTAGCTGTAATTACCAGCTCAGCGTGTTAAACATTTTCTTATGAAAAAATATACTGAAGAAATGTAACAGTTACAATCTTTTTTGTGCCGCGATCTGATGGTATGGACGAATATCGTAGATCGTCGAACTATTTTCCGCACTGGGGGCCTTCGGCCGCCCTAACCCTAGTCGGTCCAAAATCGGGGTGTTCATAATTCAATCGCGTCAAACTCCTTTCTGCACTGATAACGCATTAAATAACTAATTTAAAAAAAGTTATTATTTTCGCAACCTCCTCCGTTGAGGGACCTAAACTCTACATTTACCCCCATTTTAACACTGAAATCGTGGGATGGTATATATATAAGTCCTCCTCTATCCGTACACACCCATTTTAACTGCGAATTCGGGGGATGCTATTCTAAAATTTACCAAATTTTCTTGCTTAAAAAAAAACATAAAACAGTTTATAATTTTTTTATAAAATGTACTTCTTATACATGAATATCGAAGAAATTAAACAATTCTCTCGTAATCAAGAAATTCCCTGGTTTCCCTGGCAACAATTTATAATTCACTTTTCATTACGTAGAAGTTGGAGAAATATTGATTGCATACTGCATTTTCCATGCCCTGTAAATTACACTTTCACACCATATGTATTCACAATGTAATTGTTAAGATATCTCCTCGTTGGCGACACAGCACATTGCCTAATCAAACTCACATTAACAACATATGATATGCAAACGAAATAATGGCATTGAACCATTAGTTTATGTAATTGAACCATGTATGGTATTTAATCGACTTATTTTGAATTTAATTTCATGATACACATGTACATTAACATATATTTCATAGTATTTTTGCAATAGCACAAGCAACAATTTTTTTCGTAAGTTGAACTTTGTTTTTTCCATTTAGATTAAAATATAATAAAAAGTTGGAAATTATTTTATGTAAGAAAGCAGAGAAATTACGGAGTCAGCTTTTTGATTATCAGATCGGAATGACTTTTGTCTATATACTTCAGATTGTCTGTGGTTACGTAGACGTGCCTCCTAAAACCACACCAGTACTTTAATATACATATTATGTAACTGCACATGATAAAAACATTTATTTCAGCAACTATTACGATTCGAATATAAATTCCTATGCATTTGTTTCCATTATTTCAATATGAAACCTTTATCCAATAATTTAGTTCTTATCGCCTCGTTCAATATGAATGGAACACATACTTTTTTTATCTCTAACTCGTTTTCCTATTTTAATTATTATTACATCAATTTTGTTGCACTCACCCAACCAAAGCCTATTCAGAGACTTTACTGGATTTATATTTCCAAAACCTCACAAATCACTCAAATTTTATATATTCAAAAGGCCTGTACTCTATTTTTGTGACACTTAATCATAATCTCCAAGCAATTAAAATATTTAATCATTTATTTTACTACATTTACCTGAAAAAAAACTCGACTGCAAAGCAACCTGCACGAATGAAAACCAAATTTCAGTTGACAAATGGTACTCTCCAGTGTTGCCTATTACAAACAAAATTTCTGAAAACAAAGCTATTGGATAACGGGGCATCTCGGCAGGCAATTAAAGATGGCTAAAAATCTGAATTGCTAGCAATATTGCCAATGGAGACTGCACATTGCTAATATATTTCATGCCATACATTGCTAGCAAGTGTCATTTTGGTGGTTTGACAGAGCTGTTTTCATTTGCACACAAATTGTAAAAAAAACAATATGTTTCGATTGAGTGATATCAAAAAAGATGAAATGCCAATGCGTGAACTGCAATTTAGCAAAGTTTTATTCAAAACATAAATTTTTACAAAACATGGAAGAGATGTTGATGAGGAAGATGGGCGACTATATGTATGGTTAATATTTTAATGATAATTGTTAGCATTTCGGCGGCGAATGTATGGTTAATATTTTAATGATAATTGTTCGCATATGTAAATATCATTGCTCATATTTATTTATTGAATTGATAAAAAACAATTATTTAAGCCTTAAAATATGAAATCTTAATTTTTAACGTCATTGGCAATGTATTTTATGTATAATTGTTACATTGGTAATCATCTGTACCAATGTAACAATTATAAATATTATAATAATTTATCTGATATATTAAATTTAAAAAAGAGAAATCTAAATCTAATTTAAAATGTAAATTTTTTTAACTGTTTTTCAACATTGACGGCAATCAAAAATTTAATTTTTTGTTGTAGGCATAAAGTGGAAACATATATTTATTCATTACTGCTCTTTTTATAGGTGGATAGACAGTGATGGCTAAAACAATAGCATCATTGCAATGGTTAACATAACATTTTTGATTATTAATATATTTCCATATATATATAATTCTTATATCAAATTTCATGTTATGGTTTACGTAATCGTAGCTGTTAAGATATAAAGAAATATATACAACATGAGTTTTACCACAAGCAGCCGTGATTAGTACAAACAAATAACATACGAGAACAAGTTATTATACAAGTTATTGTATGTTCTCTGCTTTTATCATATTATTTTCGACAAATCATTTTTTTTTCAAGATAGCATGGAATTAGTGAGAATGTAATACAAAAAAGTATTAAAAACGAAATGAATTTGATTTATTTTGAATTATTACTTGTGGAAAAGTCAAAAACAAACAGTAAGTATATTAAGGAAACAAAGTAAAACTGAGTTTACACACAAATACTTTTTTCGCTCATTATCGGGAAACTCATTTTTGGTAGTAAAGTTGGCCATTCTGACAACCGGCACACCATTAACCTTCTTTGAAATTCTACATTCTTTGTTCACTGCTTAGCAAATCGGCATTCCTTTTTATATTGAAACTCTTTCTATGGTTGCAATTGCTCTCGGTTTCAAATGAATATTTACAAGACTGGGCTAACACACGAAGTCTTTTGTCGCGGGAAAGATTCTCTCTGAATTTCATTAATATATCTCCACATTAGCCCCGCATTCCATATATTTCGTATCTGAGGGTTTGAAAAGTTATGATCCGATTTTGACCATTTTCGGAAGTGAAATTACATGACAAAGTTTTATTCCGATATCTATATGGAATTTGAAATTGTGGTGTTTGCGAAGGAGGCGCCCAAGAATGTTAGGATTACGTTTTGCACCAAATTTGTTTAAAATTGGTCGAGTAGTCCTTGAGTTATGGGTTTTTACTTAAAGATGAGCGGTAGGCGGTCATTGCCTAATTTTTATATAGATTCCTTTCAACGGATTTGGTTAGTGAGTTATCGCTTTTTTTAGTCTTCAACATAACCATTATATGAACCATCCATCTCATCTATCTCGATAACTTTTTGTTGTTACAAACAACCGTTAAGTAAACAAAACTATTATACCCTGTGCAACATGTTGCGAGAGTAAAAAATGAGATCTGTGATATTGGGTTGCAGAAACGGTATGTGAAATACAATTTGAGCGCAATGCAAGTGGACTCGTGGAATTGTAACGCCTGGGTGAATAGCAGTAGTAAATGTTGTTATCTGGACAGATACAGTATGGAAATAGTTAATTTTATCTAATTTAAAAATACCAAGCGAAATGAAAGATTTAATTTTTTTTAAATCTTCTTCATTTGTCTCACTGAAAGTACGTCACAAATTATATGTAATGGTTGTTGCAATTCCAGTTAAATGATATAATAAATAAAATATAATAATATGCTCATTTATCTGATAAAATTATAACAGACTAGCAGCAACCGCTTAGCAGTTAGCCAACTGCGCGAGTGAGCCGCGTTCCATTTTATTTCTTGACATTGACTCCCGTGCCCCAATAACGTCTACATCGCATATTTTTTAATTCGTGATATCTTTCGACGGAATGTCCGAATCGAATAATTCAAAGAGTTATATAATTATATTGAATCCGTCATGAATATTAATTTATGTATTTTGCTAAGGATTTATACCAAGGTAATTTTAATTATTTTCGTTTAATCAAAGTACACTTAGTGTGATGTAACTATAATAGTTAGACATAAGTATGCTGTCGCGACATGTCAATTTGTAGATACATAATTATATGTCGTAGTACATTGTTTTGTCCTATAATCAATAGTATTCGCAGCGCACGCGATGAAAAAATTGTTGTCATTTTTTTACACCTTAGGTTACATTATTGACGTTTTAGTAAGAATCCCTAATTTTTTGAAAATCTAATATAGCCTATTTTCACCGTAGATAGTGTAGCTTCCCAACGCCGCCAAAATTTTTCAAATTCGTCAAGTAGTTTCAGGCTTATTCAATTCAAACGAACAAACAATCAAATCTTTCGTTTTTATAATATTAGTATCGATACAGGAAATACAATACAATGTTTTTAATATTGATTAATTGGTAATTTTTTAATATTTGAAAAAATTTGAAACAACTAATTTACTGTCTAGTTACAAAAATGCGAGTAGACGTAGAAGTAAATTTTGTTACACGGTTGCATAGCGGATATTGTATTTACTCCAGTCGTCATACAAGTATATAATTGAAGTAGAATGTTTCCAACAAGTTTGAGATCTATGGTGTTAAAGTGGAAATATCATACATTACTTTCAACTTTTACCTACATATGTGGGAGCGATGAAGATAATAAAAAATATTTCGATTATTCTTTATAGAGAATAGGTTTTTGGATTTTTTTTTACATTCAAAAATTTTACTAGTAGTTCGAAAGTGTATTCTTATATCAAGTCGTCACAAGATAGTTATCCATTGAGATATGTTATTCGTATTGATTTAAACAATAACCTGTTAGTTGGTCCGAAATACAATCAAATACGTCGAAAGCTAAATCACAGCTTTCACCACGTTTTGGTAGTTTGCGTCGATTGATATTATACTTTATTGTAATTGCATGCAGGCAAAGATTTACGGATTGCAGTGTGGCCATAAAAAACCCGTGGTCATTCACTCCTTCTGAGTAAAAGTTTACTAAGCCGTCAAGAGTAGGCCATCCCAGTTTGTCGATAGCGTTATTTTTCGCATAAACGCAGTGTAGCAGGCACTGCAACACAACAAAAATTGTTAGAAAGAAGATTAGGCAAAATGTAGTCATAAAGCAATTAGAACCGAGTAAACCACAATTGAAGAGTGTGATCACTGATCAGTGACCGATGTATTTTTTATATTTTTATTTTATTGTTGTGGACTTGAAGCAAACAAATCGGGGCGAGCTATAAAAAAACGTGTGAAGTTATGACTATTGTTTGCGGTGTCAAAGATAGCTTATTTCAAAAGAACCATGACTTTTGTTAAAATGCGAATATGCTTTTTTGTTTAGCCGGCAACAACAGGTGCTTCGAAAGAGTGTGCTGAATTAAGTATTTGTAAGTTTTTTCATATATGCAATTACAAAAATACATTCAAGTAAAGTTCATTTAAATATCATTGAATATAATTGCACGAAAGGCTATGCGTTTTCTTAGAAACGAAGACAGCTAGCTTTTGCCCATTATTTAAAAAAATACATTTTCATGTAGGCATATAAAGAATTTGCCACAACCGACAACTTTGTATATGTATCTTTATACTTTTGAATAACTGTATACTTACGCCAGCTAAACGTTTTTCTTCCGCGGGTACCAATGTGGGATTATAAATGGCACTACGCGGGTCATATGATATGCGTCGAATACGATGCATCAAACTTGTCACTTGTTGCCTGTTTGGTTGAAATTGATAAGCATCATGTTGAGACGCTAAATTAGAGTTTTCTTCGATGGTATGGAAGATAATCGATAGAGCAGGAGCTGGTATGGGTGCCGAATTGATCTCCGAAATATTATCTACAGTAATGTCCAATGGCGTATATTCTTTTTTTACTTGACTCTTAAGTATGTAGTAAGCTTCTGCGGTAAATAAGTTTTTTTTAATTTTATTAGTTGTTATGAACTGCTAAATGGAATTTCTACCGCTAATTAGTTTATTTTTAACATCCTCTTGACACTCCTGTATGAAAGATTCCACTCGGCGCGCAGTACGAGGAGGATTCAAGCATCTATTCTTTTGAAATCAAACAATACAAAAAGAAAGGTTTATAACAAACGGTATTATAATAAGCTATATTATATAAAGTACACAAATTGTGAGCCTTTGGAGTTCAATACCTTGGTGAATGAATTCCCATGTGAGCCTTTCGCAAGGATACCGGACCTGTCTAACAGAATCAACGTTATACACGCTACGTTTATATAAACTACGTTAGATATCATTTTAATTTATTAATATAAATTATAATTAATTGTTAATGTATGAACGTGCGTAATTTGTTATTTAGTTGAAATTAAGTGAGAACGGCACAACCACGTCGAGCGAATAATGTTTCTCAAATGAAAACGAAATTACTTTCGATGCTACCCCTAGCAGTGGCCCAGCGGCAGTGGCACATTAATAACTCACTTTCTATTGCACATAACACGATCAAAAGCTGCAACAGCAAGCTACAAATTTAGTGATGGTGGCATTGACAATGATTTTACTTGTTTCAATGTCAACGCTACATCTTTCACATTTATTTACGTCCAGCACGGCTGGAATTGTGTTGCAACATTGCCACTAGATAGGAGAAAAAGTTGCTAATTAAGTGAAATTGATTTTTATGCTCCGTATGGATATGGACAAAAATGTATACTTATGAACTAAATGTAAATCCTATTACATATTAAATTAAATAAACTTTCAGCTTCTATTTGGGGTTCTGTTTTTTAGGATACACGGCAAGCTGTGTTTGCAGTTCATACTAGTGGTAAGTTTGTTTATAACTGGTTGATTGCATTGCAGGCATTTACGGTCGAATGTGCATAAAGTACGATCGTGATATTCAATACTTATTTAGAGTGTCAATAAATAACAGTAAACCTTAACGATTTAACCTGTTGGCCAAAAGCAATGTCGCAAGTATAGATATCTTAGACAATAAGTCTTTTACATTACTGATAACAAGTAAACTTGTTGCACTTTGCGGTCGACTTTCAATTTGATGCTTTTATATTTCAAGTACAACTTTCTGGGTGTGATCCAGATGATAGTGGAAATACGAAATTCTACTCCTATGTATATTTATTTTATAAAACAATATGGGGTTACGGAAATGGATCACGTTGTTGTTGGTGAAGATGCATATGCATATGTGCATATATTCCGGTAGCTTATGAATGGTTCTACAATCAATATAAAAAAGTACGGCATTAACAAAATATGAACGTATTTGTCTAATATATTTGTGAATATTAAATTAAAAGCTTTCTATTATTATTCATTATGAGTAAAGTCGGGAAGTGAAAGGATATTTATGTTTATATTTGGTAATTATTTAGATTAATAATAACACATCGTCATTGAAATGTACCATTGCCGAAGTTTAGACATTTTAATCACTGAGCGAACTGTGTGACTAGTAGCGCATGACTAAGAACTCAACTCAAGGTGAATATTAGTAGATAGGATATAATATACTAAGATTAATGTGCGTGAGATATATTAATTTAAGATATTATTTAACGATTTGTTTTGTGTATATAAAAACTTAGAATATATAAATAATAAAAAAAGAAATATTTTCGCTCGTTATAAATGTTAATATATTATATATACACATTTATATAATAAAAATACAAACAAAAAGCTCATTACATCATTCACGTCACAAAAACTCAAATCAAATAAAAAGAACTATGCAAGTAAATATCTCATGCTTGTAAAATACACATGTGTGTATGTACGTACGTTTCTCGCAGTGGAGTCTAAGTGTTTCTATAATGTGTATTTTATGTGAAAGCTTAGGTGAAATAATTTCATGGAAGTGACAAAATCGATGAGCCAATAGTAAAAGCAACAATCAACCTTTGATGAGCATCGGTATGATTCCACACTATTTTGAGGGGAATGTGACCATTATTTATAAGATTGCAATAGCGGAATTGCATATTTCTATGATAAATTCCTTGCTTCCAAGCTGGAATTAAAAACAGCACTAGAAATGAAAACTCCGATGTAAATAAGTAAGTATTAAAGTGCATATGTATGAATGGAGAGAATATAAAACGTGTACACAAATCACATGTACAAAAATATACAGAGCTAATAAGAAAGCAGCGCATACACATCACTTTGCGTACGAAGCTTTCATTCGACCTGCCATTCAGAGTGCATGCTCCCGTGAAATACTAACCTGATTTCAATGCATTCAAAGATGTTGAAGGTAGGAAACAATGGTAAGTACATATCGGTTTTTTTAATTGGTAGAGAGAAAATACTGTAGTTTTGAAGGGCGCTTAAAATAAGCGAGTGTGAAAATGGAGACATTTTAATATCATATTTAAAATGGTCCCAATTAATGACAAAACAATAAATAACAGAAAATTATATGTAGGTAAACACATACGTACGTATGTATATGTATCTACATATGTATATGCAAGTGCATACATGTACGAAACACCTGCAGTACAACGACCGCAGTGTCCACGTTTAGCTATTTTTAAATGGGAATAACCGCAGAGCATATAGACATGTATTTATGTGTACAACTATATCTGTTGCAACTACTACAGCCTCGGATGTCAGAAAGGGCCATGAAAATCTACTACATGTTGCCTTAATTTACAGGGCAAGAAGAAAAGTGATGCATATGACGTGTACTGGTGCATTACCGGTAACTAATAATTGCACTTAATTACCCTCATAGTTAAATTCTTATTCCGGTGCTGAAAATTAACAACTACGAGCAAACAAAAAAAAATTATTGCTTATTAGTGTAGAATATTTTTTCTTTTTATCGTGCGGATTAGTGAGTAAAACTGAATAAAGTTGTGTGGTACAGGAATCATCTGGATCAAATCTAATAATGAAACGAAAAAGAATATTTGATAAAAGGAGAGTATGTCCATGCTAATTGACAGCACTTTTACATCAAATTCTCTGTCTAATGCATGTAATTCAAAGCCAGGGCAGGACAATACGAAACCTAGTTGCTAGATAAAAATTTTAATATTTTACACGGTGGAGAGTAGCAGAACCAGCACTAAGTCCAAGAATACGGGTATCAATCAACACCAGTTGCATGTTGATCGAAGCTACAAAATGAGTTCTCTCACAAATCGACCCAGCCGACCGGGCGATAAGCGTTGCCACTACCGTGCTTCTGCTGCTGCAGTGTTGGTATGAATACATATTTTCTCAACAAGACGAATAGAAGACGTTCCAGTGGTTGCTGCTAAGCATATTCATAGTTATTGTTTATTTCTATGTTTATGTGGGTGGCCAGGTGAAACATTCTCTGCCACCAAGCGTCCTCCATAGTATGTAAGGCAATGAGCAGATGCGCTTAAATACGGAGACGCTAATAAACAGAGCACTCAGTTCTCGTTCTGTTCTTAAAGCTGTCGGTTCTTCTAGCGGGCGCTCATCCCCACGCTGAGTCGCATTTAAAAAAGGACGTTTCATTTAAATCGCAAAACTTAATTGAAACATTAGAAAATTTACACGAATTTAATATATAAATAACCCAGAGGAATGGTACAATATCTGTTGATGTTAATTTGTGTACTGTGTCTTAATGGCAAAGTGACAGAAGCTGAAATTGTGGAAAATACCATCAATGGTGACGGATCATTTTCGTTCCGGTAATTCGAACGTTATTATTAATAAAGTGAAAAAAATGTACAGAATGAAAAATGGCTAGAATCGATCAGATAATGTAAGGAGTGTTAAGCTTAGAGAAATGTTTAGAAATCAGGGACCGTAGAATCGACATACAAACGATCTTAGCATTTCCGTGATGATTTTTTAATTTCGGATTTTTATGATTGTCTTCACCGATTATGATTATTTTGATTAAATTTAGAATAAATCATAAATAATTTTGATTTTTAAGGAAAAAAAATAAAAATCACAAATAATGATTATACGAGTATGTCCTTTTGGAAATAATCTCAAGGATTAAATTTATGTTATGGTATTGGCACGCCCCTTTTCCTCCCCTCCAAAAGTTAGAAAGAATCGAATATCAAACGTAATTATTGAGCACATAGGATATACATACGTCCGTCCAGGCTTGCATGACTACTGCAAATTTTATCGTTACCGGATCTAAAACATTAAATTTAGTCGAAAAATAATTTCTGTCGGCAAATACGAGTGCATCGGTGAAGAAAATCGTAAAAAAAAATATAACTTATAACGATTACGGTTTCTGCTAGAAATACTACTGATTTATCCTACACCATTCAACATACTTTTTAGCAGAACACATACAATTTTAACAGACTTAATCTTTAGACTTAAATTATTCCGTTTACATAAATTTCATCCCTTTTTGATAACATTATTCTACACATTTTTATATTATATAGTGGAGGTGTGGATCATATGTTGCCTCTAAAGTTTGTAATACCTTATTTCATTTATGTAGCTGAATTGTTTACAGAGTTATAGCACCTGATACTTTAATTTTTTATACAAAATGTCTCATAATCGTGATAGTTTTATAATTTTATCAGGTTGATAAACTAAACATTATTTCTACAAAATATCTTTCACACAATTTGGATAAATGTTTCCAATGCAATCACAATGAGTAATAATCGAAATTGTTCTCATACAACTTGTAAATGTATGAGATGTATGTTTATCGGTAATTTTTGCACATCATATTGATAATAATTTTTTTTGTTTAGAGAAAAAATTAGCTTCATTTTACCAAATGTAAATTTTTTTTCCATATTTTGATAAAGCATACAGAAGAAAAATATCGATTCAGATCCAAAAAAGTTTTATTTTTTAATTGATGCTGACCATTGAGAAGTCTGCAGGAGCTTAATTTTAAACTATAACAATACAGGCAATTATTATTATTAAATGATAGTGATTTATACAGGAGAAATTGTCCCCCGATCCCCCCTCTCTCCTTCACTGAATATTCTCTCATCCGCGAACGCTTCGGTTTAAAAAATACAAGATCCAATGCATATTTTCAAGGCATAATATTATATAATACCATTGGTTTATAGTTACAAACTATAAGCCTAACCAAAGTTGTATATAGCGTAATCAACATTTGTAAATAATGTACTTCCATTTAGCGAAATTTTTTTCCCTTTATTTACAGGCATTCTAATGACGATATTGGCAGCTTTTATCATAGTGCCTCGTCAACTCCAGACAATATTGTACAAGGGCGTTATGGGTCCCGAAATCCTACCACCGGGCAATTGGAGGAAGTTGCCTACACTGCGGGACCACGGGGGTAAACACGAATTCGATTATGAATGTTTCAATATTTTGAACTAATTATATGGTACTCTACAAAAAATTAAAGAAAAATACCCAACCCCCTTACATAAAATTGTAGATACATAAGTACTAATATAATTTACATAAATACATACAGTACATACATATTTGCGTACGGTAAACGCATGTTTTCTGGTCATATAGTCTTTCATACTTATATATGTATGTACATACATATATGAAAGCAGACAGAATTTTCGAATCCATTATACATAAGTATGTATATGTAAGAGAGGAAGTGCACTGAAGCGAAAATCTAACAATTTCAGCACAATAAACACTACGTTGTATCGCCAAATATTCCATCTTTCACACAAAGTTGAATTTCAAACAAAATACAATATAAAAAAATACACAAGTTAGAAAAGAAGGTATGTGTAGAATATTGCGTTGGAAACAACTTTATTTAATAGACGTTGTTATTAAAATCCGAAATATTTACATTAAAGGCAAGTAGACTATTCTATTATATATATATGTTCTATTTTAATATGTCGGTATTTGATACAGGCTATATGGTAAAGTAAAAGAATATGACGCAATTTTAAATTTGATAAGTATATTCCCATTTCACCCAATATTTAAACCGATATAGCTTTGGAAGCGAGATATGTGCATAAATCCTATTTGAGGTAGGCCCCACACTCTCTTTTCAAAATTGTTTAACCAGACAAATGTGTGGGTGTCTCTGGCGCATTTGGTTATTGATTTATCGCGCTTCAAGTAATTTTCAACAAAGCCGTTATATGGGGAAAGGGCCTGGTTAGGAAATATTAACGTTTTTATGACCTATATATATGTTACACTTATAAAGTCAATATAAATATGATAAGTGGAGGTGAACGGTTTAAATTCAACTGTAAAGACTCAAATAACTATTTTGAGCTTATTGCTCCTATTTTACTAAAATAATATTTGCTTCTTAGCTTTCGAGTTAATGGTCCAAAAATTCATCGTAAAATGAATTTAGCGCAATATCCTGTTCGAAAGCTAGGGACTGCAAATGACCCATTGGCTGATCCTTACGATGACCCTTCGTATAGTTTTAACTTCCGATCAGGACATCAATCCCGTACAGAGACCAGTGATTCCTCAGGTAGAATAACAGGTAAATCGTTACTATTAGAAATGTGAAAAAGTTTGATACTCATCATCGTTTAACTTTCAGGTCTCTATTCATACTTAGATGATGTCGGCGAACGTCATAGTGTAAGATACGCAGCGGGAGCAGGAACTGGGTATGAAGTCTTGAATTCTGTACCTGATAATCCAGTAAGTGTGGCATATGCTGCTCCTCTCTATAAGGACCATCCCAAGGCGCGCGGCAAAATGACAACCCAACGTGGGCCAAATGGTACTTACAAATTAATTGCTGCTGGACCTGACCATCGCCGCGCAGAAAGCCGAAGTCCAGATGGGTTTGTGAAAGGTACTTATTCATATCTTGATGATACCGGTATACAACGCACCGTTGAATATATTGCTGGACCAGGTATTGGATACAGGATTGTAAAAAATCGTATGGGTCTGGGATCACATATAAACCCATCAATAACTGAGTTCAGATTAAGAGACACCGACTTTAAGCTTTCGAATGATTTTGGCGTAGGAGTTGGAGAAGGTAGTAATATAGATGGTTTGGGAGTTGAAAGTGTATTCAAAAAAGTTCCAAGTAAGATGGACGGTAATAGAAATCTTGAAAAAACACTGAAATATAATGCAAATCAATCAAAAGATAATGAATCACATAATGGTGTTTCTGTTGGTTTACGAAATCAGATGAAAAGTGATCGTATGGGTGCAGCTACCAACAATCGCGGAACAACCCGATATGGGATGATTGATGGCGGAAGCATAGGAGGAGGTTATGAGTACAGTTCGACTCGCAAACAAAATGTCAACCGGATTAATAATCGTAACATTAGTTCAGAAAATCACATAAGCTTTCACAATTCTGAACCAAATCTTACGTCGTCGGGTAGCACCAGAGACAACAATCATCATAATGGAGGTGTTAATATCGGTAAAGGCTACAACTACGTTTTGCCACCTTCTTCATCAGACTTATTAGGATTTAATGATGATGATCTAGTTTCACTACCACCTCTAATAACTAATAGCCACAAAATCTTGCAGTTGGAACGAGAAAAAGACTGGACTCAACGACATCGAGACTCCACAGTAATCCAAAATGTTGGAAAGTGGTATATTGGTCTACCGACAGGACATAGTGTGCGCGCCCACGTTCAGAATATAGATTTGTTACCACTTGGTGGAAGACGAGTACCGTCACCATCCGAAGCATTACGACAAGATGAAATTGCTGATATTATGACCTCGATGGAAAGTGGAACTTCATACAGTAGTTAAGCCTAGAAAATAGACCCTATCCAATAGTAGACGAAAAATGTTCCAAAATCTAAGCGTAATTATGAAAGTCTATGAAAATCTTTATACTTATATATGTATAGTATACTTATAACTTATGGTAATATCGGAAATTTAGATAACGTGTTGTCGTAAATAATTTTTTTAATACATGAATTTAATATTAATTTGCCCTGAATCCAGATCAATTATGGCCGGAACACTCTGGACCATCCTTACTTATTTTAAATTATAACGATAGACGTTAAAGTAACATTCATATAATAAATTTAAAAACGTATTTTTATCCTTGTTCTAATTTGCTCTTTATCAAGATCTCTTGCAAATGACGAACATATGTATGTTTATTAAATGCTCAAACAAAAAAAGAAAATATTTTGATTTAATGGCATACATATGGATTAATATATCTACAAAAATTTTAGAAAGCAAACGTATAATAAAACCTACAGTTTTTGATAAAGGAACTGGTTTAAATAAAATAAAATAGAATAAATATTAAAAATTAATAATTAAAACAAGTAAGGAAAGGTTAAGGTCGGATGTAACTGAACATTTTATACTCTTGCAACTTGCAAGGATCAAAGCCAGGGACTTAATTTAGGCGTTGGCAAAACTTTATATTAAAAAATGTTGCAAAAGAATTCATCATTCATTATTCGACGAAATTGTAAAAAGATCGCAATTAAATTTGGTATTTTATTAAATTAAATTATAAGCGATATACAGTTTTATTGCCATTTATTATATCAGGGAAATGAGGTTTTGATCAAAATCTACACCAACTCCTTACATAATCAGCGCTAAACCACGTAATTTTTAGAAAAACTCGTCCACTTATTTTCATTAAAATATCACACATTATGACAAACCTTAGTGGCTTAAAATCAGCGGGAAGTAGGCGTGGTTTTAGTCCAATTTCACCTACGCTGCGACATAAAAATGCCAAAACAATGCTACTTAAATTTGGTTGAAATTGGTGGAGCAGGTCCGGAGATAAGTGATAAAACCCTCTTACACCATCCCAGTAATAAAATTGCATGCCTCTGACACATTTAGTTATTTATTTATCGCACTTTACGTTGTTTTTAACAAAACAGTTATATGAGGAGTGAGCGGGGTTAACCCTCGATTTCATCTATTTTCACACTGTCGTAAGAGGTGTCAAAAGTATTTGCCCTGCGCAAATTTGGATGGTATATGCTTTGGGAGATATATACAATAAACCTATTAGGGAGTTGAGCAACACCCACTTTTTAAAGAGTTTTAGCCCAGAGATACCCCTCGTTAATGCGACTCCAAATTAGAGTCTTAATTTGGGGCTTAGTTATGGAAATTTAAAGTCTTTCAATTAATTGCGTTTTGTAGGCGTGGCAGTCTACACTACCAAACTTTTTATTATGCCAAGGAATAGGTGTACCGAATTTTGTGAAGATCTTTTAATTTAATTAAGTTACTGCCTGCACTGACAGACGGACAGACAGAGAGTCATCCGAATTTCAACTCGTCTCTTCATCCTGATCATTTATATACAGATAACGCTATATCTATCTCCATTAGTTTTAGGTTTATTATACCACCTGTGAGATAGGTGTGTTTATCGCCCGAAAGTTTTCACAACATCTGCTGTTCCAGTGGAATCTCGTTATCAAGAGTAACACTCTAAAGGAAACGTCCTAGATCCTATAAAATATACTTAAATAAAAAATCTTACGGTTTGTTTTCGTAGCACGATTCGTAAGCCACCATGTATTAGGGATATGAGGTTTCTACCAAAGTTTATAATTTTTAAGAAAACTTTTTCACTTAATTTCATTAAAAAATTACACATTTTGACCAACAAAAACAGTTTAAATCATTTGAAATCCGGTTGCCTGTCTGTCCGTCCGTCCGTGCAAGCTGTAACTTGAGTAAAAATTAAGATATCATTACGAAACTTTGTACACGTGTTCCGTGTTCAAATCGAGAGGACAACTTCGTAAATGGGCGTAATAGGATCACTGCCATGCCCACAAAAACACTAAGCACTAAATTAAGATATTAATCGTAATTTGGTACAGGGAACTGTATTGGGAAGGGGCATTTATGGTTTGAAAAGTTTTAAAAAGTGGGCAAGGCCCCGCCCCCTATTTAGTTTAAAGTATATATCTCCGATACCATTCGAGCGATTAAATTGAGTGAGAGTCTTTTTCTCCTAATAGTGCATCTCCTAAATTGGATAAAATCGGGTGAAAACTTGCCCTAGCCTCCATATAATTAATATAAGTATTTTCAAACATCCGGTTGACTTTACTTCTATATATCATATTGTTGATGATATGCGAGGCACCTTATTGAAACTCAGAGAGCATCTTTTTCTGCTTATAATATGCAGTAATGCCAAAACTAGATAAACTCGAGTCAATACTACATATATCTGCCATATACCTAATAAAAGATTTTCAAACATCCATTTGGCCTTATACCGTATATATCGTAATACATACATATGTGTAATAATTTCCGTTATTCTAACACACCTTATTATATTAATGCCTCAGCGCTGAACATGAATGGAGTTGGTCTAGACCTTAGTCTTAATCCCGTATCCCTAATATCATCAATTCGAATCTGCTGGTTGTCGTTTTGCACATCAACTTAATATATTAAATTTAGCCTCTTTGGTAAAGTTTATGTCAGATATTTGAAGATGATTTTAATACAATTTTCGCTGACGGGAAGTAAAATATACTAATAAAACTAAGTGAGTCTATGACCTTCAAGATAAATTAATATGATACCAATTTGATTGTGATTCATTGACGATTTCGTCCAACAATGAAGTTGAACCCTCTCGCTACATATTTTATACTACACTCGAACTTAGCCTTGCCATACTTGTTGAGATATCGATCTGAAATTTCGCCCACGTCCATTCCTCGAAAGAAGCTTTTCATTTTGAAACCGCCGACATCGGACCACTATAGCATATAGCTGTCATACAAACTCAATGATCAAAATAAAGTTCTTGTATGGAAAACTTTTTTATTTGACAAGATATCTTCATATAAGATTAGTGTCCAAGGCAATGATATAATATCCGAATACATACCATACAAACTGTACGCTCAAAATAAAGTTCTTGTTGGGACATTTTTTATTTGTTAGGGGCATTATATCTTCGGAGCAGCTGAAGTTCGATTAAAAGCTTGAAGATATAAAATGTTGATGAAGTTGAATTAATTATTTGATATTATTTAGTGACGTTTGTAATCGAGCGGGTTGTCTTCAAAAAAGAAGTTAACTTGGTGAAAGCTCGATAATGTGTATATACAAGTACAACGACTCTACTTCTGTAGCTACAACATTTACCTTAACCTGTATTTTTATAGTCTATTTTAGCATCCTGCATTCCTTCTCGTAAATTTGTACATATACGAGTAACATACAAATTTATTATTAACTTGAGCAATACTCTGGTGAAAATGCATGAATTCCGAGCAAATAACTTGTGTTAAAACCAACTCCACTACTACATTTGCACATGAAGGTCACATTTAATGACTTACCAACAACGGACGCAATAGCAAGGCGCAAACAGCTGCCTTTGCACTTTTACGTGTTCGCTAGTACGTGTGTGTTTTGTATTATCAGCATTTGGCATGTCCCGAGAAGCACTCCGATGTGTTTTTATATACATTCATATTGCGTACTTGTTTAAACATATGTATATACAGATGTACGTATATGTATACAACGTCAATAAAAATAGCACTGCACCAACGATATAAGTATATGTTAGTTAAAGGCAAACTTATGCAACAATGTAGATTTCAAGGCCTCTAACATATATCCTATACAAGCGTCAACTCCGGCCGAGTGTTAGAGATGATGGTGCAACAAACCAGGTAAACTGTTATTACTGTCAAAACAACTTTGGCATATTTACTATTATCATTTTTGTGCCCAATATCTAATTGGACATTATTGTCACTACAAATTTTTCACAGCAATATATATGGTCGAATTTCTTATAAATATGAGACATGTAATATACTTTACTAAGCAGCTGTTGCATGCAAATTACCTAAAACAGTAGGTCAAACAAGCTTTCTCTTAAATTGTCTCTTTCTATTCATTAACAACGCTCTTCCGTTCGTAGTTATTCATTTGAATGCATGTGTGTGTATAGAAGAATATTTATCAGAACGAAATGTTGAAAACTAAAGAACAGGTAAAGTAAAAGCGGCAACAGTTTCGTTGAACTCAGAGGTGGGTAGCTTTTGCTATGGCTCCGGGACACATGGAAATAATATCAGACAGCAAAATGATATAAACACGCTTTGGTAGTTGCGCAGACGCGCAGTTCGCGTTGAGAGGCTATCGAATTTGGTTGTAGTATAGTCTAGACTTTAGTAGTGTGATCAGCATTATTATTTACTTCCTTCGACTATCGCGTATTTGTGTAGCGGCATTCAACATCAGCTCAACAATTCAAGTCCTTCAGCATATTCAAATTGTGGATTTTTCTTGTGACAATTTATCGTCGCTACGAAATAATAAAAGCGATATACAGTACATCATGATTCTTTCGATTGTAAGTTATAAATACAATTTAAACTCAGTTTTATATTGCAATATACAGGTATATATTGTCTCCGTTGTTGTCTTAAAATATTAATGCACTTAAACAATTTTTATATGGGAAGGGCAAACATATTTACTTACATCTTCATTTGGAGTCATGCTTTTTCTTTATGCTGCTTAAATTTCGTTTGTTTTGAAGAGCAAAGAACTATTTTTTGCCTTTAACAGGTTTGGTTTTAAAGCTCCACCACAAATCAGCATATGTGACCCATTTAATAAAAAATATATGTATGTCTCAATAAGTTATTCTAAATTGACTTGCACTCATCTGAAAACACTAGCTTTTTATAAATAATTTAGTTGAACAGTGCTGTGAAAAGAAACAATAATGAAGATGAAAACAAACATAAAGAAATATGGTTGGTTTAACTCTAAAGTTGACAATGAAATACCTGAACGAAAACGTATCAACGTAAAAAAATCGCATAATAGTTTGAAACTGCAAAATATTTTACGACGCAACTTGTTCATCTCCCAATTGTTATTGAATAATATTATTGTATTATCTCGTTAGCATTAATAACCGAAAAAATATAGAGGATTAAATACTTAATCATAAATGGATATAAATATTATATAATCATATATCGCATTTCTCATTAATAATTCTAAAGTCATACTTATTGGTTGACAATATTGTGTAAGTTGAATATTCATTTTTCTGATATAATATTATATATAAATGAAAAGGGGGTTTCCTGTTCGCATTAAAAGCAATATCCTTTATAAATATCCACATAATATGAACTATATTATTTTATGTATTTAAAAATAACATTTCTACATACTAACAGTGTGCTGTTTACCAAATAAAAAAGCCAAATATTCAAACATATCTCAAGAGGCCAGTTCAATAGAAAAAAAATGTTTTAAAACAATAATTTGTTTAGTACATTTTCTTTTATGTTGATTAGATTCAAAGTTTACTCTTAACAATGAAGTGAATGTAGTAAAATTTGTAAATCGATTATATTGTGACCTATTAAAAAGTACCTCTGGGCGTTTTGAAAAAGTTATTTAAAGAGAAATCGCAAATAAATAACCGTAATCATTTATTTCATATCTTTATAATTGGTACAGGCTCAACTCATTTCCTAAGGTTATAATAAGCTTTCTATCATATAGATTCAACACATGAATAGTTGAATTTGATATGGTGATCAACACAGATTGAAAACAAAAAGATTGCAGCCAGAGGCGTTATCTTTTAAACTCATTTCGCTTACACGTATTTTTCATCTTACCTACTCTTTCGCTAAGCTGCCCACAAGATATATTCACTGAACTAAAAGCGAGCAGAACATTTAAATACTCATAAGCTCGTTCACAAATGAATGTTCTGTAAGATTTTGCAACTCAAATAAAAAATTTGAGGACAAATATGTATGACTAATTTTATGAATGCGTACATGGATCTTGGCTTTCATTGGATTTTATATGCTAATTTCTAAAGATTAAAAGGCAAGACGAAAATTTACTCTTCCCCTCTTTAACGGCAGCCACATTCGGCTTGCTTATTTACCTAATATTATATTAGGTCAAGTAAAAAGTTCGTTCGGTTTTTATCTAAGAGATGGTGTTATTGTCCATAGTACTAGTGTTACGTGTCGCATCATGTCATACTATACGGCGCTGAAAACGTGTTTATTCGCGCTAAAAGTTTGTCTTTGACAGTTTTTCGATTGATTGACTCGATTGTGAGCGCTCGTCAATGATGGACACCAGCAAAGAGAAAATTCGCTAAATTTTAAAATTTTTCTTCGATCAAGGCGAAAAAGCAGCCAAAGCGGCAGAAAAAATTAATTTAGTTTATGGGCCCGATACTGTAAACGAACGTGTAGCACAAAAGTGGTTTGCTAGGTTCCGTTCCAGTAATTTCGATGTCAAAGATGCACCACGCGTCGGGAGACTTGTCGTCGAAAATTGCGATCATGGAAATAGTGGAAACAGACCGTCACGTGAGCACTTATTTAATTGCTGAGGAACTAAAGATAAGCCAGAAAACCCTTTGGAACCATTTGCATAACCTTGGATTCAATAAGAAGTTTGATGTATGGGTGCCACATGAACTAACGCAAAAAACATGATGGACCGAATTTCCATCTGCGAATCGCTGCTGAATCTCCACAAAATCGATCCGTTTCTGAAGAGGATTGTGACTGCGGATAAAAAATGGGTCTCTTACGACAACATCGAACGCCAACGGGCGTGGTCAAAGCTCGCGCAAGCGGCCCAGACGATGGCCAAGACCGGATTGACGGCCAGGAAGATTTTGCTGTGTATTTGGTGGGATTGGTAAGGAATCATCTACTACGAGCTGCTCTCCTATGGCCAAACGCTCAATTCGGCCCTTTACTGCCAACAACTGGACCGCTTGAAGGCAACACTCATCCAGAAGAGGCCATCTTTGATCAACAGAGGCCGAATTGTATTCCATCAGGACAACGCTAGCCCACACACGTCTTTGGTGACGCGCCAGAAGCTCCTGGAGCTCGGATGGGAGGTCCTAATGCACCCACCTTATAGTCCGGACCTGGCACCAAGTGATTACCATCTTTTCCTGTCCATGGCGAACGCGCCTAATGGTAGAAGTTGGACTCAAGAGAGGCCTGTGAAAATTGGCTCTCCGAGTTTTTTGCCAATAGGGGCGTAGCCTTCTACGAGAGGGGTATAATGAAGTTGGCATCTCGTTGGCAACAAGTTTACGAACAAAACGGCGCATATTTGACTTAAATCGGACAAATGTACACAAAGTTATCATCTTTTGGTTAGGCTGATTACGCCAGATGTTGCAGAGTAAAAACTATAGTACCTGGAGAGGTACCCATCTCCTATTTTGAGCCGGTTGTGTTGTACAGTGAAATTTTACAAAGCATTATAAATTTTTATGTGTATACCAAATTTCTTCGACCGAAGTTAAAAAACAAATTGTGATTTATTTTTTTTATCTCAGGTGTATCTTTCAAGATTTTGTATACTGAGGATGTCTAGTTAATTGACGATTTCCCTGGTTAAAAGTTACAATGATGAAGTGCACTCACTCACTAACCCGTTCGAAAAAATAACTTATTCAATAATATCCTTATCGGGCATCTTTCGGTATATTATTTCAGTCGGCTAACATATAGGTATTAGCGCTCACGTATTTTGGTTTCTCCTATAGGAAATATTATCATGCTGCTAGTGTATGTCGAGTTTCTGAACAGTGTTTTCAGAGGCTGGTGTGAGAGCTAAGTAGAGAACCTGTTCGCTGACTGCAGTTTTTCTGTGTTTGCTGCACCATGACCTCCGTGCTCAGCCACGCATGTGCGACACCTAATTATATAATCATTAATTGCGGCCTGAAGGGTTGAAGTCGGGATTGCCTCAATTATCGATTTAATGGACTGCTTTAATTCAGTCAGTTTTTTTTCATAACCCTATTAAAAAAGTCTGGTGCAGTCAGGTCTGGTGACCTTAGGGGCCAGCGGAAAGTGGAGTTCTTGATATTAATTAGTTTTCAAATTTTCGTTGGAACTCCGCAATAACCGGTTTGGCTATGTGTGCAGTTGCTTCATCTTGCTGGAACCAAACGCCATTGAAAGGGATACGTCTTCTGCGCAGTTCTGGGTAAAAAACGCATTCAACATCTTTAAATAACGATATCCATTGATGGTTACTATTACACCTTTTTCTTTAAAGAAGTGTTTCCCGACAAAACACCTTGATGAAACTGCGCACCACACAGTGAATCGTTCTGAGTGAAGTTCCATCTTGTGGATTATTTTTTGATTTGATTAACTCCATATACGAAAAGTTTGTTTGTTTACATTACCATTTAGATCAAAATGGGCCTCACCAAGTATTCATTTTTAAAAAATGTAAATAATAACTTGCCAAATAAAAAAAGTAAGTCGATTACTCATATGGAAAAAAGTTATTACGGTTAGATTTTGAAGCACGATTCGTGAGCCCCCTGTATTAGCATTAAACTATAGTACGGAAAGGTTTCATACGAGCCAGTATCGAAATTGGACAATGGGCGTGGCACCGCCCACTTTTAGGTGAAATCCTATATTTCAGGACCACTACACCAACTCTAAACAAAATTTCATGTATGCTTTCTGTTAACCTAAATACAGAATAGCCGAAATTATAACCGTTATTTTCGGTAGTCTTAATTTTGATTTTATTAACAAAGTAATCATTTATATTACATAACACATTTTGTTATAAAAGCATATATATTAAAATGTTTTCTTTTTAGTTTTTTTTAGCAATATTTATTGTTAAACTTGATTGCGCTCATCCTCATCCGGTGCAAGTCAGTGACGAGGTTATCGAGTAAGTAGAACTATGTGTATAAGTGTAACTATTCTCAACGCTTACTAATTAGCTTTAAGCCTGTTTCTATGCTATCTAAAGTATCATCAACTCAAAAGTCCTTCTTATTATGTTGCTCTTTACATTTTTTTATCTGCATTAACGTATTTTATGTTTTAAAATAAGACTTCAATAATTTCCTTTATTTCATAGCATCATCCAAGTTACTAAAACATTTAAATTCTCGTTGATAAAATAATCATGAATCATGACACCAACTCTCTTATCATCCTTATTACCTTTGTTTGAATTATTAATATTTATATACCGCCATGAAACTAAACTAAAAAGTTAGAATCCATCTCAGGCCTTTAGTATTCATGTGACCCCTGCATTACTTAAAATTCTCGTTTACAGAATCGAAAAACAAAGGCTAGTCAAATTTCCAGACGAAATTGAACTTCGACAAGATTCTGCAGCCAACAGTACCGATTCAAAAAATTCAAATATTGATGAAGCTCAACGCATCCTACAAGAAATTGAAAAAATTAATCATGCATTGGGATATATTCGCAAACAATCGGAGCCATCTAGGCTTCCGCCTATTTTAGATTCAAGTCAGTACTTATTCCCAAAACCAGCTGCACAACCCTTTCATCAGCAAAACCATCAAACTTCTGGCATGAAGGGAGGTACCATTTTAATTCCTTCTATTAGGTCAATAGCCCTTCCGCGTCAATATATAACATCTTACTCAATCTCTAAAGGCGTGGAGAATATTGGATCTTTACGTCAATTACAAACCGCAAAAGACAGTTCAACAAAAAATTATAAATATGTTTTTCAACCAAATGAAGTAGTATTGCCTGCGCTCCACAGTGGGGACAAGCGACAGAAGCTGCCTACACATTTTGCAATACCCGTGCGTCTCTATAGACTTAATAAGATGGAATATATAAATAAGAATGCACCACAGCAATTCGGTGTCAAAGGATATAAAATAGTTGGTGATGTCGATAATTTTTATGGCAAGGCAAAGCGAAAAATTAAAGAAACAAATGAAGCAAAGGCTGAATTATCAACAAAATATCATCTATTTTTCCTTCCACGTGAGGTAGCTACGCTGAAGGAATTAGATCAAGACATTTTCAAACTCTCCCGCATGAGATTGGAAGCGAAACAAAATTCACAAGATAATAATTCTAGAGAGAAGAAAGGTGTTGGTATTCAAAGGCCCTATAGAATACAAACTACAGCAACAAGTAGTATCAGCGATATTAGCTCTAATGCAAATGTTACAACACAAATTGTTCGAAAACGTGTTATACCGAAACCATTAAGTGAAGCGGCAGAACAACAAATTGTTTTAGGAGCTACTAACTCCTTCAATAATAATAACAATGCCAATTCGAATAGTAATATGAATCTCAATAACAATCCAACAATGCATAACAACCCAAGTCAAAACACGAATCAATTCAATGCAAGACCCGGTATTTTGAAATTCCCCAACATTGCGAACATTGCCCGTCCAAACGATCACAAAAACACTACTCCTGGAAATTCTATTAAAAACGCTTTTCAAAATATTTTTAAATTACCATTTCTTCAGGATAGCAAACCTAATATGACGGTGGGCGAGTTGGGGCAAACTCTACAAATGTCCACAAATCCTTTTTTTACAACACAAGCCAATCAGCATACGCAAACACTTTACGATATGGTTGGTTCAAAACAACCCCAGAAAGGAAGTGATTACCAATGGGAGGATGAATCGAGTAGTAGCGCCTCCGAAGATGAAGAAATTAATTCCACTGAACATGAGCAAAAACACATATTCGGTAATCAGCAGAATGGGGAGCTAAAAACTCAAATGGAGGCTGTTAAACAGGGTGGTATTATAATTCAACGCCTCAAGGTACGAAAAGGTGGCATTGCCATTGCGGGCCCTGGCGGTGTGGCGACTGCAGGGAGCGGAGGCACAGCTATTGTTGGACCCGGAGGCTATGCGCTTACACATCCTCGTAGTTTAACCATTGCTGGGCCAGGTGCCAAGGTGATTGCCATACCTTCCAGCGTTGATCTAAAAGAAGCGTTACAAAGAACTAATCTGCACGATCAAATTATTCCTAGCGAGGGCAAAATTGTTGCTACTGGTCCAACTGTGTATTATTCTCCACCAACATAAATTCACACAAGATATGAGAATGATTACAAGTTAACTTACAAAACTAAAGATTAAATATAACTATAGCAATAATTTCAGACAATACGGTTAAATAAATTTTGTATTATTTAAAATTATTCATCTTAATTTTCATAACTCGTAGTATAATAAACTAAATATCAGTAAATATTATGTATTTAATACATGGATAAATACAATAGTCATGTCCCAAAATTTCATCTTAGCTCAAGTTCAAGCCTTCATAATTGCTGGTTATTGGGTGTCAAAGCCAAATTAATAATTGTTGCATGCCAATCATACATAGTTCTTAATTTGATTGTATACAATTTTCACATATTTCACATATCGTTTTATTCGTACTTTTTTCCCTTCCATTATTATTCAACTGCAAAACTTCATTAAATGTTTATTTACTTTTTGTTGTGGCATTTTACCAATTACCTTAAAGCGACAGCGATGTTTGGAAAATATTTAGTGCAAAAATGTGGCCGTGGAGCACACAGTCTACTGCATTTTTTGTAATCCATGCGCCATTCTTGTTAAATTTTGATACAACGCCAACAATGAACCTTTATAAAGTCGGCAATGTACTTGCACAACCTTGGGTTATTGACACTTTACCTTCAAATACAAATAAGATCGTTGAACCGAAGGAAATACCAAAATTCACATCACAACTACAACAATTGATGCCAATTGTTATTAAAGAACTTAAACCGATTGCTGAAACTACTACTACTATTGTTAACAGAAAGGATTTTAAAAGTGATGCACGTCTTTTAGGAGCGGTTAAACAAATAAATCCGGATTTTGTGATTGAGGAAATAGTGTCGGAACCTGACGGACATACACATACTACGGTAACATTAGAAAAAAAAACCAAACCGGTCAGCCTTTCACTATCTTCTCCGACGTCTCCACAATTAGTATCAAAAAGCTTAAATTTTTCACTAAAAGCCACTTTAGCCAATTCAGATGCTACTAATTCAAAACAAAAATATAGGCAGAAGTTGAGCAAGCACAAAAGTGAATTCACTGAACCAAGAACTAACGATAGCGAAGTGAAAGTGGAAGCAACAGGTCAAACTGCTACTTCAGGAATCATTCCACAAATACCATTCGGTAGCTACTTTCTTCCATACTTAGCAAACGATGAACAACGTGTCAGCAAAACGGCTGCATTAATATTGGAACCACATGCGAAAGCCGTAGTGGGCAATGGTGGCATAGCTGTCTCTACACCCATTTCGAAGGCTTTTTTGAAACGTGGAACACCCGCCAACGTTTACTTCAATCCAGAATCTATAGCAATAGCAGGAGTAGGTGGAAAAGCACATGCCCAGGCCGATTTAGAAATTGATTTAGTAGATTAACCATTTATATTACTTGAATATACTATATTTTGATTGCAGCTGAAGTACATTAATATTTTAAATTTGTAAATAATTGTATATAAGATTTATGTACGTAATTTATCGTAAACATGTTTAATCATATAAAATTAGTAGATGTTAATGAATTGGTTAGTAAAACAGCAGAATTTCATTTTAAGCACTCAGAACTTTCTTCTAGAACGCTTTTACGCTTGTGGCTTTGTAGTTTAAAATATTACTTCGTGGTGTATTTTGATAACTTTATGATTCCTTAAACGAATGTAGCCAGAACGCCCACAATCCTTCAATTCAGAAAGAATACTCATACCCTTACTATGGCGGCCTGCGTGGTCAAATCTTGCAAGTGGTTCGAACAAAAGATGGACAGGATAATATGTTTATCATAAGCCCACCATCTATTCCTACTGCCAGCGTCAAATCCCTTAGCAGTAAGAAAGCTAGTATTTCAACATCGGAAGGCCATGGTCAACTTAACAACAAACCGCCAACGTCGATTGCATTTGAACAAGATTTTAACCGAATACAGATAGCAGCGGCTCGTCTAGTTGCCATTCAAGAAGTAGCAAAGCGTAAGGGTTCTTTTAGTGAGGAAGATAATCGTATTTATGCAGAGAGTTTACTGGAGTTGGGACATGCCGCACAGAACTTAGCGAATTTACACGAAACCGGCCAAATTAAAGATTTTAGTCTACTCCTACAACCCGATTTTGAACTACCGCATAATAAACCTTTGGTTCCACCGGAGTCAGTAGCTGAAATTGAAACTTCTGGTGGCGAACAAAAAGTTGACGAAGTTACAGAGCAACTGTTCAACGAAGAAGATCTTCTGCCTCCAAATACAGAGGATCCTTATGAGGACGTCAGTGATACAGTAGCAGTGACTGCGCCGAAAAAAGACGCTTCTGTTGCTGAAGCTAAACCAATAGGTAAGTTTAGTAATGCACAAAGATGAGCCTAAGTATTTTACCACCTGAGTGAATCCGCTTATATTTTTCATTACAATGTAGGATTATCAATTGCCGGCGAAGGTGGTGTTGCCTCATCTAAACCCAATGCAATAGCACTTTCTGGACGCAATGGTCTAGCAGTTTCCGCCCCTAAGGCGACTGCTATTGCAGGTGTATCAGCAGAAGAGGCAGCTGCTTTTAGTGTATCAATACCTAATAGAAATAATCTGGTCATAAAAAATGTGAATCACATGCCACAACGACCTGTGTATGATGACTACATCGAAGACTACAGTGACGTTTTACCATCACGTTCGACATTTACTCGTGATACGACGGTCACACATGGTTCATCTATTCCTGTTGTCAATAAAAAAACAAAGCTGCTGGGTGTAACAGAAGCTGGCAGTGAGCTTGCTTTCGCTGATTCTTTAGTTAAACAATGGAAGACTATAATAGCCGAGGATTATTCCGCATCAGCACGAAATGCTCCTAAACTGACATCAACAAAATACCTTAAGGAAGTGAGCGAATTCCCACAAAGATCAATCGATAAAAAGGCCTACTATTAATATTTATGCATATGTTTATGTGTGAAATTGAAGTTTAAATATTTCACCTATAATGAATAAAAGTGGATTTTTTTCATCCTAATAAAGTAATAATCCAAATCATAAACATGTAAGGAAGCGCTAAGTTCGGGTGTAACCGAACATTTCTACTCTCACAACTCGCAAGGATCAAATCAAAGGAAATACCTTCAGGAAAAACTATATATTAAAAAATGTTGCGAGAGAATTCAACGTTCATTGTTCGGCGAAACAAATTTACAATCAAATTTGTATCTTATTAACTTATATTATAGGTCATAGATTCAATTAATTTTATGACTACATTTTACTTCCCGTCCGTGAAAATTATATTAAAATCATCTTCAAATAAGATATATATATCTGACATAAACACAACGGATGAAGCTAAATATAATATATTAAGTTTATGTGAAAAACGTCTAACGCCAAGGATCTGAGTACACTACACTAGGGATATGAGGTTAAGACCAAAGTCTAGACCAACTCCATTCATATTAAGTGCTAAACTATTAATATTGTTTTTAATTTTTAACAAATTTTGTCCAATTAATTTACTATTAGGTATACTCGAGAACATATTTTCAAGCAATTTTATAAATAAATAACTCATACACTGACCGAAATATTCGGAATAAGGTTTGTTAGAATATCGAAAATCATTATATGTAGTATAAATAATTTAAAATATTTTCGACATTAAACTATAGTATACCCAGTATGTTCAGTTCATTTTTCTAATCTATCTTACATATTAAACGATAGGTTATAAAGCTAGGGAACAAAGCTTTGAAGATCTTATATTAGGTACATATGAAATAGGGGTAGTATTGACTTTTATTTATCTATTTTTGGCATTACAACATATTATTAACTGAAAAATATGCTCTCTGAGTTTAATTAAGGTACCTCACATACCCTCACCAATATATAAATAGTAAAGTCAACCGTATGTTTGAAAATTCTGATATTAATTATATGGAGGCTAGGGCAAGTTTTCACCTGATTTTATCAATTTTAAACACAAAAATACATTATTATCATAAAACCACCAATTAATTTCATTAAGATAACTCACATATTGACCGGTATAAAGTCATCCGGAGGTTCAAAAATTTTTCTATTAGGTATTGGGAACTAAGGGAATTATTGATCCAATTCAATTCATTTGTGACATACAGGCAATTTATTATCAGAAAAGAATTTTCTCCGAATTTCTTGAATACATCTCACAGATTGACCGATTTTTTCGATAAAAAGTTTGCAATGGGAACTGATTCGGTATCTACGGGCTTGAATAGTTTTACTTCGATTTAAACAGTTTTTGGTCATAAGATGGCACACTTCAAAGGCACTAGGCGTATTTTTCCCATTTTCGCACTGTAACATAGGAATATCAGAATAATATTTTGTACGGAATTTGGGTGAAATCGGTCGAGCATCATCGTCGTGTCTTGTATCTCGGGTGTAAAACTTTAAGACTTTGGCTCATTTATTTATAGATTTATCGCACTTTTAGTAGTTTTTAACAAAACCTTTATATGGGGAGTGAGCGGGGTATCATCCGAATTCACACATTTTCACTATTGGTAGAGGTGCGACTTAGTTATGGCGATTTATAGGTTTTCGATTATTGGCCTTTTGTGGGCATGGCAGTCATCCTTGTCTGAGTAACAGCTCAAGTAACAGCTCAAGTAACAGCTTGCACGGACGGACGGATAGACAATCACCCGGATTTCAACTGTTCTCTTTATCCTGATCATTTATATATATATGTAACCCTATACCTAACTCGATTATTTTTAGGTGTTACAAACCGTTAGGTGAACAAAACTATTATACTCTGTAGCAAGGTGTTGAGTATAAAAATTACTTTAAGCTTTCCTTCCGTTAACAGCACTACAGCGATTTCTCAAGCTTATTGTCCAATTTTATGAGAGTACATTTACAATTTCGGTTGTCTAAAGAATTGAACTTTTTTTTTACATACTACTACTATAATATACCACTACCATAATTCGAGGTTTATTTCAGTACAATTTTTCTTAGCCTTTAATATATTGTTAGCCGTTTTTTAACGGAAAACGTATCACTATGAAACAAAGTAGAAAATGTTTACGTAGCTATAATTGTCAACGCAATTTTATATTCTGGCAACACCACTTATTAAATACAATTCACCACACCCACTTAATAAACATTTTTACAAAGCTTCACTTTAAAGCTTGGATTTAAAAACTTAACCCGTTAATTTTAAACAAATTTCGTTAAGATAGCTTATTCGGCATTCATTAAACCTTTAGAGACGAAAGAAGATTTCTTAATATAATAATAATAAACTAAACCATAACTTAAGATATATCTTTATATATGAGCATTATTTGTATCGTAGGTGTGATCTAAGAACCATATTTCCGTCCTACCATAATAGTATACTTTGTGCTACTATTATATGAAGGATGACACATACTTATGCATATTCAATGTTCTTCGACTAACCGGTTATTGAATTGGCAACATGCAAAATAAAACTTTCCTGCGTCGTCTGTGATTTTCAAGCTGAAAATAGAGCAGCCTTAATATAAAAGTTCAGCCGATACTAATATCTGCCGTACTGTTCTGATGTTTAAAGCTATGCTACTAAGGCTCTAACTACATTGTATGGATGCTATTTGCGTGCGTATGTGTACCAATACATGCCTATGGTTAGATACATCTGGCGCGAGAAATGCATCAAGGAAACGTTATAAAAGATCCTCCGCGTCTGCAATGGTCATCAGTTTCATATTGACTGCTTAAGCAACTATTTAATGTATAAAAAATAGGAAAACAATTTTTTGCCTGCATTCAATCATTAAATTTATAATAAATTCAGTGCGAGCTGTAAAAACAACATCCAGCACAAAGAAGAAAAACAAAAGTAAGTTAACAATTTAATATTTTACAGATAATTTCATCTTGACATAAATGTTGCAACCGTGGTGTGTTAATGGAATTATTTAAATTTTGTTAATTTAAATTTTACCAATTTAAGTTATTTTATAATAGTTTTATAAAAGAAATATATTGTTTAGTAAGACAATGTCTCAAAATTCTCTGAAAGTTTTCAAAATTTTGTATAAAATATTCACATAATAAGTAGAGGATCTCGTAGTAAATAGCAACGAGAGAAAATTTTCTATATTGAAATTAATTAAATAAAATAGAAAAATGTATGTGTTATTCAAATATATTATATTTTCACACAGTTACAATTATGCAAAAGAAAAAGTTGTTAAACTTCTGTTCAGAATGCGAATATTCGTTACGTACTATATCATATTTTTACATATTAGGTACAAATAGATTCGACTGTTAGTCAAAAACTGTAGTTCGAAAATAATCATAAATAAAACTATCTCCAATGTATTGTTATTCACTCATATTGCTAGGATTTTGGCCTTTTAAACGAACAATATAGTTAGTACAACGTACTTATTTACAATAACCGGTCAACAACGTACCTGCACATAGGTATGTACCTACTTAAAAATTGATCCTGTCACTGCTTACCTAAGGCACTCTTCGACTATGCATTTAACTACGTCTAAAAATAAATTCCGGATTGACCAGCAGAACTGCCCTGACCAGAACTTGTAGCTTCGATTTCAAAACCAGAAAATTAATTATGCATACTTGCGTAGCATATACATAAAAAAGTCGATATATGTATATATACATATTCACCTATAAATAAATGAATGGATATACAAAATGTATATGGGTAATTGTTTTAATAACTGATAGTCCTTAAATACCCATATGTATTAACAAATGTGCATAGATATAATGTTTAATAATACACAAATGTTTCCTTACAGATGCTGAATTACTTTCTGCTGTGCACTTGTATTGTTCCTGCTTTGTTAGGTGCACCGATTCCAATGACACAAAACGATGTTGCTTCCCATATAGTTATTATTACACCGCAAGCCCAAGTTCATCTGGAACCGGCAATCAAATACGATACTGCTACATTTATTCATAATCTCTCCCCATTAGCCCGCATCTCATCTTCAAATGATGATACTATTTTCTACGTTCCAGCTAATACTCCTGCTCCAATTATTCCCGTTGAAAACATAAGCGTAGGACGTGCGAATATCAGAGAACAACCACATAAAGTAGAAACCAAGCAATGGGATCAGATTTCGCAACAAATTCAACAAGCTGTGCAAACTGGTTCATCGCAGCTAGGGCCGCAGTTAAGTGAAGCAGCAACTGCAGCCTCCAGTGCTGCAGCAGCTGCCGGCCAAGGACTATTTCCCGCCTTATTTCCTTCAGGCGGTAGTTCACCATCCAATACTGCAAATAAGAATGATAAGCCAACAATCGAATCTTTATTGACTAGCAATGCTCGTGTCTATGCACTCACTCCGGCTGTGTCCCATGTTGTCGATTTTATTCATTCGCCGTTATTCATCGGACCAATTTCAGCTATACGAACACGCAGTATACAAGAAAGTGAAACTAAGACCCGATCACCCGAAACATTAGTAGTTGAGACTAATCCTCTAAATGAAATACCTTTCAATGCTAATAAAAAGACTTTTGGTGATGTTATAAAAATGCAGGCACAGCAGGAACTTAAAGGCAATTTAGAGGTAGATAATTTGGGAAATGAGGGAAAGAAGAACGAATTCAATGAAACTGATAATAATGGACAAAGTAAGTGTGTATGAACTACTTTATTCTGTTCCTTAATGTGTTTATAACACAGCTGTTAAATTTAAATTACGATTATTATATTTCAAATATTCTGTTAACATAACGTTTAATACAGTTCTTGGAAACGAAAACCAAGAAATTGAAAAATTTTTAAAAAAAATTATGGCTACAACCAACAAATTTAATAAAAGAATTGATATATTTGATCACACTTTCATGAGCTTTGGTCGGATTTCCATACATACATACATAAATATATACATACTACGCAGTTCTTCTAAATTGTATGGAAAGAAAACTTTTTTGATATAAAATATAATATAAAAAATAATCAACAAATTCTTACTTATTAATTATTTAATTTTACAAAAGTCAGTCGCATTATGTTTTTAATTTCTTGGTTATCGATCAATAATAATTAAAATGTGGATCCTTAAAAAACTTAAAAAGCTTCTGTAACTTGCAAAATTTTCAGAAGAACAACGTTATGGGAATATATTACAACAGCCAATAAAGGAGGTAGTTAATCAACAACAATCTACACAGCTTAAAAATTCAGCATTTGTTGTTGGTAATGGAGGAATTCGTGAAAAAATTACCCAACCAACAAACTCTAAGGTAGCTTAAAATAAAATTGATGGTATGACATACGAACGTAAATATATAAAAGGGTACTCGTTACCATAAAAACTAGTACCCACAGCTAAGAAATAATTACTAACACAATGACTTTTATAATTTACCATACTAACGCACAAAAATACACTCGATTATGAAAAATGTGTATGAGTAAATAAATGTTTTAATAATGAAAATGTATACATTCATATTTACGACTATCAACGCAATCAACTGTACGTTTATCATCATAATCATAATAATAATACTTGTAATAACAGTCAATACAACTTTAAAAAGACACATATAACAACGATTTATTCAAATTATTTTTTTATTTATAACGGTATGTAATACTTATCATACAAATACATATATAATTGTATATATTATATATACTTATATATATGTTATTGCGCAATTTAAGTAATTAAAACTGTAGATCTCAGTCACGATCTTTCATGCTTACAAACGTGGTAAGTAAGTATATACTTATATATCTATTTATTTATTTGTACAACTACATACATATATGCAAGTTTATTAGAGATACGAATGAGCCCATGCGATCTAGTATACGTAATTGACTTTAGTTATTATCATTTGAATCCAACTCACACAACGGTATGGATATACAGCATACTAAATAACGTTTGTTGACAATTTTTACCAAAATACAGACGAGGTTTGCATTTGAACAAATAGTAATCTATTACACAATATTACACAATATTTTCTTACTAGTTATCCTCTTCTATTTTTGTATTATAAATCTAAATTATGATATAATATACTTGGAGATATATCACTAATATTCAGTCTTTGGCCATGACTTTGTAATCATCATCATATTCGCCTATTGCGATAAACTCTATCAAATCAGGATTATTTTCTTGCGGAGTCGATTCACCCTTCAAGGTATTGAGAGACTGTGTCAAACTGCTATTCCCATCTTGAACCGATGTAGTATCCAAAGAGGAAAGGGTTTCTTTTGTAACCACTTCGTCTGCAGCTATGTTGTCTACAGAAAATGTGGAACTTCCTACTTCACTAGTATCAGTGTATTTATAAACTGAAAAGTATGTTTGGATACGTTGAATGATGCGCTCTAGAAATGGCGGAAATTTATGTTCGGTGCCTTCACCATAAATTTTAATGACCCATTTATTATTACTGATCGCCTGTTGTAGATTTAGTCTTACGCTGCCAAAAACAGAGTTATGCAGTAAGAGATGTTGCGGATTAGTATTATTCTGCAATCTACTTGGCAGGAATAAAGTTACATTAGGTATAGATTGTATATAACCAAACTGTTTTACACTCCCTCTGCTTCCATTGCCAAGATTAAAAACATTCGCTTTCTCTGATGATACGCTCCATAATAAAGGTAGAATCCGCGCCTGTGTAGTGGTCTTGCCAAATATAATAACATAACAAATGAAACCCGAACACAAAAAGCTCGAAAAAGTTTTGGTACTACTGTGAAATATGATCATATTAATAGAAATATTTGTATTACTTCTTCACACTAGAGCACTTGTCTAATATGTACCGTCCTCGTTTGCTTCAATGAACTAACTGTTAGTTTAACGGCTTGTGGACTAGTCTTGCGCATTAATCACATGATGTCGCTTTAAGTTACCAACAAAATGCACGCAACCAGCATTTGTAATTGGTATCGGCTGCAATTCGGCCTTCACCTCTGTACGATTCATTTGAATCTCTAAGACTATTAACTGCAATATTTCTCGGTACTCTCCAAATATAGGTTTGAATACATATGTCTAATATAAAAGAGTATTACCACTTTTTGTAAGGTTTTTAATAGTGTACTCTGATGATATAATGTATATATATCTCATTTATGGTGTACTCGATACATAGCCGCACACAGTTGAAGGTGGTGGTGAAAGTGAAAAAATCAAATAAATACATACATCAGTATGTAAAACTGGTTAAAAACGGCAAATTTTTCGAAAAATTGCACATAAATCTTACTGAAATTAAATGAGAAATTCTGATGCATTTACCCCTGGTACGAATATTTTTTGTATGAACCATTAATACTAAAGTGATAATGCATAAAAAAGGTTGTGGATTTATTAGTTTGCGAGTTATTGTGCTAAGAGTGACACTACTTTTGTTATAACAAAAACAATGGATTATAAATTATTTCGTGTGTTAATTTTACACTGATTCTTGATGGGAAAAAATACCGTTCAAGCGAAGCAATGACTTAAAAAGTGTTATGGGGATTCAGCACGATCAGGAACCACAATAAAACGTTGGTTTGCTGACTTCAAACGTGGTCGTAGAAACACCAATGATGCAAATCACAGTGGGCATCCAAATGAGGCTGTAACATCAGCAAACATAAAAAAATCCACAAAAGCGTTCTGAATCGAAAAGTGAAGTTGCATGATATAGCTGACATCGTCCAAAGCGTTTGAAAGCACAACAACCAGCTGGAGAGGTTACGGCCTCGGTATTTTGGGATATGAAAGGTGTAATATTTATCGACTATCTTGAGAAGGAAAAAACCATCAATAGTGACCATTATATAGCGTTATTAGAACGTTTAAAATCTGAAATTGCAAACAATCGACCGAAATAATGTTGTTTCATCAAGACAAGGCACCGTGTCATAAGTTCATCAAAATGAAGATCAAAATGCATGAATTGTACTTTGAATTGCTACCGCATCTACCTTATTCTGCTTTTTTGGCTCCCAGCGACTATTGGTTGTTCGCAGACCTCAAAAAAATGCTCGCCGGTAAGAAATGTCACTCGAATGTAGAGGTTATCACTGAAACTAAGGCCTATTTTAAGGTAAAAGACAAATCGTTCTACAAAAGTGGTATTGAAATGTTAGAGCGCTGCTGGAAGGATTGTGTTGCATTGAGATGTTTTCTTTGTTAGGCCCGGGACTTTTCAGCCCTAGTATTAAAAATATGTAATCATTATTTTTCAAAACAAAATAAACATCGATGTATGTGCAACTTTTCAAACATTGGTTTTCTGAGTTCATTAGGGATTACTAAATTTCAATATTCAGAATTATTTGTCCGATAGAATACTTCATAAAAGTTTTAAAATGTATTAATTATTTCATTTTTTATTGCTTTGTATATTCTTTAAATAAGCCAGGACTGGTAAGTCGTTTATATATACTCGTAGATCTCGTGATAAATTTCGGTTGTTTCCAAACATGCTCACTCACTTAGATTTATTTCTACATTTTGCTTCATATCCTATTATATTAAAATTAACCCAATGAACACAAATAACGATAATCGTGATATTTGTGTTATTGTGAGAATTTAATATATTGGGTATATGAGAGAAAAAACAAAGGGGAAATCCTTATATAATTATATTAGCTCTAGACCGATTTCATTCATATTCAACACCACATTATATTGTAATAAATTATTCTTACCATAATATATCAAAGATTATACGTGTACCTAATTTTAGTCATTATTTTCTGTAAAGCTCAGCCATTCGAACTGAGTATCTCGGGCTTGAAAATTAATAGTCTTTATGGAAGAAGTAGCTTGAAGACACTATTTGCGCACAGGTTTCTTCCGAAATCTTCATTGCTGCTTGATTTATATATTATATTATATTAAAAAGTGAAAGAATCAACCATAACACCTTTCCTTCTGACATGTTTCTTTAGCGAGTTAACGTACTTTTAGTAGGGTGGTGGGCGTGGCTATCATCTGATTTCACCCATTTTAACACTGTATGATTAAATGCACACGTATAACATTCTTCACACGTATAACATTCGATTGGTTTTAGATGTTACAAACAACCATTAGGTGAACAAAACTCTAATACATTCTGCATTATATGCACGTTGTTGTGTCCGCTTATTTGTTTTTTAATATCAGTGTAGACAGCATCCGTCTTTCGATATACGAGGTGTGTTCAAAGGAAAAGGTGAATTTTGAATTT